ATGTAAAATTTAAGACATCAATTAACACTCAAGCGCTAAAAATTATAGCAGACTCTTTGCTGCATGGCTTCAAGGCATGATCAAGACTTCATATCAGACACTATTAACAAGACTTCTTCTGCTTTAACCCAGTACTTTTTATTCGCTGATTACTCACCGCTGCAACTTCGTAGTGTAAGATGTCCATCAAAAAAAGTGGAACACAAATAAGTAACACATATAAGCCCCAATCAGAAGCAAACGCCGCTATGATGATGGCCCAAACAGGGCCCGAGGTCAATATCGATTTCCAAGGAACGGTACCATGAGATACCTGCCAATGAAATTCTCGAGATGTCAACAAAGTACAATAAAACTGAGTTAACGCTCACATACTGTTATAACAATAGCTACTTTGAACCGTTATGCCCAAAATTGTTGTGTAAACTTGATTCAGCTGACCTCTGTACAACTGGGATTTCTGTTTCTTTAATTCAAACTATCAAGGACTCAACTAAGGCTGTAAAAGTTACAAGCTGCAAATAATAATGCGAGTTTATTCCTCTACAGGTCATGCGCGACGTAGAGAAAATAAAATTTTGTCGTTTCTAAAAGTCCATGGATTTTCATAAGTCGAGCTGACGTGGTGACTATTTTGAACTCACTTCTTACCCCCGAGTAAAAAGAACAGTCTAATTTTCATTTATTTGGTCAGTCCTTACGGTATTTTTCGTGCATCTAGATGTTTTAGTCCTCCCTATGCAATACGGGACTTAAAGACTTTTACCTCATCCATATTAACGGCGGTCAGCTCAATGTAGGAACGTTCGTCATATGTTATGGTAGGATGAACTGATGGAGATTCGAACGCAAAAACAAACCACGCCACATACCACATGATGCCAAATATTCCTGAAGTAAAGAGGTTTGTAAGCTTTGACAAAACCAGCTTTTTGGGGAGCCCTAATTTAGTGTTAATTTTAACAATTTTCATGCTGGCGAATGGACTGTACAGAGGAGGCTTGGGCTTCGAAGGGGAGGATGATTTGATTTCCATATGCTCGGCTGATATACTGCACAGCTTTACTTAGCCATTGATCAAATTTCTTCCTTTAATCGTTGGTGCCTTTTGCCTCTCTTGATAATGAGACAGGTAGATCAATTTTCAAACGACACAAAACGTTAATAATAGGAAGGATGTGCACTGAGTTTGAATCTGGTTTGAGGCTTTAAATGATTCGTTTATCTTTTTTAATTTCATGCTTAAGCAAAAAAATCTAGAGATTCAGTAAATGGCTTGAACCCGGGGGTAACATT